CTCTCTTCTCTGGTCAATACACACAGAAATAACCTGCACCAACTTCTGGAGTTCATTGTACATATTATATCTGAGGCTAAATTTGCTCATAAAATGCATTAAAACCAGCAACAATAAGAAAATAAACATCTACTTACCGAACTGATCCTTTCAGTGTCTGCTGGTTCAATCAGCCGAAGGTCTGAATTACTGAAAACTGGTTAAAACAAGCCAGCGGACAGTAAAACTGTTTGTGGAAATGTGCTGCTGCTCCAAGGATAAACAACGACAAAATAACAGTTAATTATATCAGAAGCAAATCCAAATGAAGATGAGACCTGCGACCTGTCAATCATCCCAGAGCCGACTGTCAATCAAATAGCCACGCCCCCATATGACCGAAACTTTGACTATTTATATAAAATTCAACATTGAATTATTTTCAGACTGGCCTCCTGATCTCTGGTTTTAAACATGAAAAGTAACAAAAACAAATCCTGAGCTGTATTAAAGCTGTCTTTCGTGATCTGTGTTTTCCTGTTTAGAACTGGGGTCTATGGGAGCCAGAGCTTTTTGGAGCCAGCACCTGTCGGCCATAGTGGTATTGCAGGTTTCTGACACTTCCGGGTTGGCTTCATTTTTCAGGGCCGGTGGCTAGGTCCATCTTTCAAATACAGTCTATGATCCATGATGGACTAAAATAAAGCTACAAAAGAACACAATGCTAAGGACTCATCTTTCTCGAAAGCAATTTCAGTTACAACTCCCTGTATTGTCTTGTCCTCCTCGAAGTAGAAGCCAGGATGCGTGATAGAGCATGTACTATATACACCAACAAATACCATCAGATGGAGACCGCTTGAACAACTCAGCCAACATTCACCACTGACAGATGTGAAGAGGAGCACAATGTGAGGGTGAAGTTTGTGCACCCGAGTATACAGCTGCGTCGTCAGCAGCTTTTCGAGGATGCAAACACTTCCTCGTTCAGACGGAATTCCTGTGTGTTACAGTGAGTTACAGGGGAAGTACACAGCTCAGTGTTTACATGATGTACCGCGTGGTGCGTCTGAGCCCCCTCCCCCTCCTCCTATCAGTACGTCGGTCTGACGCGATGACGTCACACCTACACGTAGCTTGTTGGGCTGGAGAGTTCGCGGCGATGGCGACGACGGCTCGGTGCTGGAAGGGGACGCAGTGAAGCTGGCCTCGGCTCGGATATGACTAATGTCTATTTGTTCGAGGTTGCTTTGCTGCTCAGTAATTGCACGGGCTTCGGATGACTCTTTGGCTTCTAACTTCTCAGCACTCATTCGACTGGTGAGTCCGCCGGTTGTAGTCGTTGCTCGGTGTGTTTTGACAGAGGCCTCCGCTCCGGGGTCCGCCCTCCATCTCATAACAACAAAAACAGTTGCAGAGAGCAGCGCTAGCCCAGCCAGCTAACGCTAGCTAGCCAGCTTACTGGCCGCTCTGTGTCACAGCTACTAATACCAAACTCCGAGCGTTAAAGGATTGCAACACAACAGCACACTGCACACTAGAAAATGTTAATGTCGACTGCTTGCTGTCCAATTAGACACTTTGGGCTAGGCGTTAGCTCATTAGCATTAGTTTACGGTCGAGCTATTGTTGATGAACGTTAGCTAGCTAACAGTTGACGTTAACGTCAGATAGCTTCAGTATATCTAGCTTAACGTTACGCACAGACAAGGGAAAGCAGCAGGGATATTACTAGCTAGCTGGTTACTTTTGTCTGTTGACACTGGTTATCTCTCTAACCAACCTGTTAGCAGGAACGGCGTTAGCTACTGACTTCTTGGCTGGCAGCAAATGATTTCTCCATATCTAGCTAGCTGTTAACGTTATGCCGGAGAGCACTTGGCTGTGAAGATTACCGTTCAAGTGTTTTTTTAGTAGCTTTTTATTTGCCAACGTTGCGAGTAAACGTGGATTAATCTAAAATAACATTAACTTGCATTTCGACAAGCGTCAGTAAACTGTTTCGCTTGCTCGTTAAAGCCTCGACGTTAACACGAAGTTAACAAAACTAGCTTTTTTCGTACACTAAGTTAGCGGACATGTCGTGTATGGGTGTTAAGACTTTTTTTCCGCTGCCTGGCCGTTTACGTCAAGTTGTGCTGTCGGTCACTACAGTTCATCGTCCCAGTCAATATTTATATTTTTTAAACTTGATAAAATTGTTTAAGAGAATGAGACTCGATAATGTTCTAGCCTGTGATGCATGCTGGCCTGTCACGGGATAGGAGTAACGTTAAGGCTCTAAGGGGCTTAGCCTTCCCTGTGTGACTGTGTGAACTCAGAGCCAGACTGAGCCGCAGCCACGGGTCATGAGCCCGCTGCGGTAAACAGAGCCGTGTGCTGCTCAGATATGCTTTATCAGGTAGCGCCAGGAGTAAAAGCCGGACTCCTCAGTCAGTGTAGTAATGACCTCCCTTGGCTGCTTCACAACACTCTCAAAGAACCGGCGATGCTAAGGGGCTCGTCTGTCGCCAGTGCAGTGGGATTTTTGTCTTCTTTCTCTCTCCAGGCATCTTAAATGCTGATGAGAAGGTGTGTTGAGCTCCTGAGCTGCCCATTCACTGACCTTCTTAGATCAGATTTCAGTCTCTGCAAGAGTAGCTGACCTTTACAACTATTTGTGGGGCTGTATGCTGAGATCTTTAACAAGTTGCCTCTTTTGAAAAGTGATGTTAGGAAATGTCATTTATATAGGTTTTAAAGAATAAGCTCTGTATAAATGGTTTCACATAACTCAACTAAAAAGTTGGTATCAGTTAATGTTCTTGGTGATTTTCACTTTTCATCTGTTTCAAGGGCATCTTGGACAGGAAATTAATACAAGCCAGAAGCCAAGTGTTGTGAAGTGTTTGGCTCTGCTAAGTATGTGACCAGCCATTTGGGCATGTAACCAAGCATTGTTAGACATGTTAGCCACATATTATAATCCTTTGTACACTTGTAACATTTTCCATACCTTGCAGTAGCTTTTTATTAACCCCCAGACATAGGTACATGGTCTTAAAGTGATATTGCATATGGATATTGTGTTTTTATGTATTTCCCTACAGTGAACTTTAGGTGATGTGGTCACATGACTAAACCATGTCTGTATGCCAGCTAGACTTTTGCCTTCGTGCTTTGAGATCCAGCTGGCTTTTTTTTTTTTCATTCTGCAGTTAAGTTAAGTGGTATCTCTGAGCTCATATGCAAGCCACTGTGACCACCAGTACATCTATATTTGCCAGGCAATCAAAAGAGCTTCTGTAGCTTCTATGTCTCAGTGAAGAAGCCAAAATATAGAGAAGTTTGTTTTGAAAAGCCTTTTCTCGTTATTCAATTTAATTTCCACAGACTTCCATGTCTTACTTGTGAGGGTTTCTGAACAGGATCACCAGGACTGCTTATCGTCATCGCTGATTGTCTGTGGTAAGTCTAAATGATAAATTACAGTGATTTATGTGACATTTTTAGCTCTCGTCTTTGTGTGTGGTCACCAGTGCTTTGTCCCTTTTTACTGCATTTGATACAACTGGCTGAATATAAGCTTTACTGGACTCCTCAATCCTGCTATTGAAACCCAAGCCTTTCCTTATAATGCCATTTCATGTTGAATTGATTTGCTATTGAACGTTTTGAACATGACTGCCCAACCAAAGGCTGACAATCTAATTGTTGATCATGGACTACTGTCAGTTCATTGCCTGGACCCATTCCCTGAGAAGGTACTTGCACATCCTGGTGCTCATGTACAACATCGAAAATACAGTTGGTCAGCAGCTTGACTAGCCTTCAGATTTGACCAGGTTTCAAAATTCAGCCACTCCCTGTATCGTGACTTACTTAAAATTGTGCTCACATGCAATATGCATACAGCCTACAACAGAACCACTGCACATGCATGAAGATATGGCCGTTAGTTTAGTTGTTTGTGTCAGATAGTGATCTCATCAAGAGGACATACACTGACTTTGTAGATAAAAAAATTTGCTCTTCTGGTGAATTTACTGAAAAAACACCACAGGGATTATATTGTTTAAATGCATCTGTGCCATTTTTGAGACCTGACATTAGAGAAATAAGAGATAATGAGGTTGGTGAGAAACGAGGAATGACATGCAACAGAAGTCCCTGGTCAGACTCAACCTAGAGATATTGCAGTTTGTGGTTAGTGCCTTAACCCCTAAGCCACCATGGCACCCAGATAAACACGTACTTACATTGTTGTACTTTAGCTTAAAACCAAATGGTTTTACCTCTCAGTTTTTTTCTCCAGCAAACTGACTCTTGAAGTAGGTCCATTAACTCTTGTTTTATGAGATAAACCTGTCAGATAATAGCAAGACTTACTCCTTTGGTCATTTATATTCTGTATACCTATAGAAATGTCAAAACTTGATTCCCGCAAGGCAATGTGGATGCTCTCCAAAAGTATGTTGTGTGGCAACAAAAAGAAGCGCATCATGTCCCTAACTGGCCTGACTTAGTACTTCTAATGAGACTTTATCATAATATAGACACAATATAGAATTTTGATCATAAATTTGGTTTCTGTAAATGTTGATCCGTGTTTAACAAAAATGATCCCAGTGACTAGCTGCACAGTATCTTACCACAAACTGGGGGATGGAAAATATAGATCTTTTCTGGTGATGTTTAAGCAGCCATGGTTTAAAGTGTAATCAGACCACATATAAGAAGAAAGTGGCTGATTTCCTTTTGTGTTTTTAATGAAACATAATGGCTTAAGAGTACAGTATATATTCTTGGCTTTCTGTGCTCTTTTTGTACAGACTTATCCAGGCCGGAGTTCCTTGTTGGGTGACCCACACTCCTTTACAGGGACCATGGTAAAGTATCTTGTCCTCATGCCTGCTTCAGATAATAACTGCTGTGTGTCCTGGGTGCAGTCTGCAGGCTTTGCATTGATTTTCACTTGTAATCAGCAATGTTTACCAGGCAGCAGACAGTTATGTCAGTTGCAACAGTGTCAAAAGTCCTCCAAGGTTGCTGGCTAAGCAGGGCTGCTTTCAGTTTCCACTGCAGAAATGTGTTTTATATTGTTGCATCATGACATAACCAACTGGATCGGATGCTTTGCCTTTTTGAACTGTGTGTGTATGTGTGAGTTTGCTTCATTCTTGGCATGCTGTTGTGTAGTGGCTGCCCCCTGGCTGGCCTCAGCATGATGCTTTTCCAGCCGTGGCGACTGTGTGTATCAGCTCCGTTCATGCTGAGCCAGCATCCCGCAGGATGTGCCACCACTGTCCGTTATCTGCCATCTCTTTCTAACCACCTTAATCTGTCTTTGTGCGATGTTCAGTCTAAACTCTGCTCCTGACCAAACACAGGCCATAGAGTCCTGCCGATCTCTGTCAGCACAAGGCCAGACCTTTTTTCCACTCACTTGCCCTTGAGGAAAAATCCTAGACTCTGCTTGTATATCCATGCCTCACATTCCCCACTGATATGCATCCTCTGTGAAATATGTTCATCTTGCATAATACTGCTCTAACCTCAAACATTTGGCTCTCATAAAAGCCTGCAGACTAGTGAAAACTGCCTTCAGATAAATGTCTACAATTTAATTCATCCAAACCAAATATTTGATGTGGACTTTTATATCTTTGCAGGATCCTCTGTAAATTCATTGCCATTTCTGTTTATAGAGCTCTGTATGCTGCTTTCATCTGTTATACCATGGCTTGTTGTACAAGGGGTGATTATAGTCAATTACTCTTGGTTGCCCATTATAGTGTGGGTGGGAAGACGAAGACAGCCACACAAAGCAGCATGAATACAGCACTGTCAGGTCGGTTTTAAATCAACTGTCTGTCACAACAGGGGTTGTGACACTACAGCCATTTCCAAATATGCGAAAGCCAGTAAGATGATGCAGTGAGGGAGAATTGAGGCAACAGGAGGCGTAACCCTCCTTTAGCTCCTGCAATACTACTAAGGTGGTCTTGAGCAAGCCCTTTAACCCCCCAAACCCACTCTAAAAATTCCTTTAGACCAGCTCAGTGGTCAAAGCTGTGAATGCATTTGTCAGTGTACATGAGTGTGTGACAGGAGTAGGGTGATAAATGAGAAAGTACTCAGCCTTCCATCCGTGGACAAATGCTTCACAGGCCACACTAAAATTAAAGAGAAATATGTGTGTGAAGGAAGGTTGTGGTTGTTAAAGTTGATACTAGTTCAGTAAAGAATTAACAGGCTTTCTCTCTGCAGGGGGAGGAGGGGCAGCAGAGTCTGGAGTGTATCCAGGCCAATCAGATCTTCCCCAAGAAGTCCCCTGTCCTGGAGGAGGAAAACATGCAGGTAAGCAAGCCGCTGCCCTCTCTGGTTATCATACGCTGTACAAAATTACAGTTATGTGTAAATATGTGGTTGAGTCTCTTTTCTGTAATCAGTTACATAACTGCCATAACACATGTGACTTTAGCTCACTTTCAGTTGAGCCTTTCTGGAAATAAAAGGCTTATTTTACTTCCTCTGTTGAGGAGAGAAGAGCGTTATGAAGAAATCCTTTGATATACTTGTATCTCTTACTCTGAGAAACTTGTTGGTCTCATTGTTGGCCAGTTAGTCACTTGAACTATTTATCTGTGTCCTGTGTTTACATTTTTATTTGCATTTTCATATTGCTGGTATGTCTTTCAGTCCACTGGCTGTTGATCTTTAAAGGTGAAGTCTTTCTGAAAACATATGAAGCTGAAATGTAACGAGTTAGCATATTTATATAGTGTGTGCCAGATGTGCTCTCCCTCCCACTGCCTGTTTTCACCCATTGCTGCTCCCCCCCCCCATGCCCAAATGTGTATGAATGCAAATGTTTACAGGACATGCTGGAATAATGTTGTGTGGATCAGTCTAAACCACTTTGTTTACAGAGTCAGTGCACATGTAGAAAGGACCGTGAGTAGTATTCAATGAATATGAAAGACTGTATTGGATTGAAATGTCAAACTCCATTTTTGAAAGTTGGGGCTCTTTTAATTTCATTAGTCTAGGTTGTACAGTACTCCAGTGAGTTTAGTGTACACTGAAAATAATTGATTTGAACCCATTTTGTTGCATAGAAAAAGAGTGAGAAATGGGAAAAGAGTTAAAATTCTTGCTGTAGTAAAAGAGGTCAACATTTTGGTACAAGTTTCACAATAGTTATGATGAACATATCTACTTAAATAATCGCAATATAATGATCATATCCTTCTGTACATATGTCATTATTTCTGGTGGTCTGTGTGCCTCTTGAGTTTGTTTGAAATGTTTTATCTCCTGTGGTTGCTAGGTGCCCTTTCCTGAGCTGCATGGGGAGTTCACAGAGTATGTGGGGAGAGCAGAGGATGCCATCATCGCAATGTCCAACTACCGCCTACACATAAAGTTCAAAGAGTCTGTTGTCAACGTAAGTATCTTTGAAAAGTGACCAATGAGCTTCAAGGTTGCAGATGGGATTAGAGATTATCTTTCACACAGTTGAAAATATCGGCTGAACTGCATTGTCTCTTTTCAAGGCTGTGTGAAAGTGTGTATTGTTTTGTGAATGGACAGAGCCAGGGCCGTTGTGCCACTGCTGTGGTGACCAGGCCATTCAGACTTGATCTCCATTGGCAGCAGTGCCGCGTGACTCTTCATCACCTCTGTTTCTACACTCGCCTGTGCGCTCCGCTTTCTCTCTGCACTTGTCGTTGCCATGGTTGCAGTGGCTCCAGAGGGGATGAATAACAGTCAGGCTCTCTCTCTCTCGCTCTCTCTCTCTCTCTC